CAAAATGGCAGCTCTTAGTCCTAAAGTAAAATAAATTTACTTGCATACTTAAAGATGGTTTTATGCCACTAACATCATGGACACAGAGAATAGTAAGGAAACTGTGATCGAGTGACTGAATGACAACGAAACATGACAAGTAATTTGATGTTTATGTCAATGAATTAACATTTATCCCAACACTAAACTGATAATCTGAAGTGCGTTTCTTGTAAAATTGTTAAAGAATGGTACCTTGGATATATTATTACACACATCAATTAATTAGAAACAAGTTGACACGTAGAGAAAACATGATTCATAGTATATTTGAAAATTTTTTTAAACAGTTAAATTCTTTCTCCTTGAAAATTGTTATTGGCTAGGGAAGTATAGGTTATTGACTCCTAAACAACAATTTCCCATGACCATGTCAGTTTGAACTCAAGATCTTTGGGTCCATTAGTGAGTTTGTTATCTCCTTAGTAGTTATTACAAATTTTACAGATCGTATGCTTGGGAATTGCATTCCATCTAAATATCCTTATTCCTTTTTGGTGACATAGTTAACTAATTTATATTTTTTTATATAGAAAAAATAGGCTTTGATAGATGTGACCATATCAATGACATAAAAAATATTTGCAGTGATTATGTGTACAAAAAATTTATTTCCCTCGTACACTACATCAATTTTTATGTTTATTTTCTAATTGTAACGGAATCGATGTAAAATGGAAAGTTAAAGAAACCACTTACTATAAATATTTGTTGTTAACATAATTAGATTTTACATGTATGTAATTATTAGGTATAAGTGAGTAAACGACAAAAGTACTCACTGTTTGTTTAGTGTTAATTTTATATTTTTACCCTCAACAGTTCACGAAATTCACCCAAAGAATCAGTTGTTCAGTTTGTCTAATCTATAAAACATTTATAGGACTGATTACATTCTAACGCGATATATTTTAGCCTGAAACTATGAGTTAAATATGATGAAATTAAATATCTCCTAACATGTAACAACCTACACATACTAATAAACTTTCTGAGAAATGATTTCTCTAAAACTGTTTCCTGAATAAAAGAGGTTTGTATTATGATGGTAAATATTTACTTTTAAGTATGCAAATATTTTATTGATTGTAACACTGTCTTCACCAGTTTGCTTTTTAAATAAATATTCGTGGTAACTTTTAAACACTATTATCTATATAGTATCATGAACAGCTATTATGAAGGTGACAGTACAGGATGACTTTGAAATATATATGAGCTGGTAAATTTAATTAGCTGTAAAATTATTAACTTCACTCTCAGATGTGAATTAATTATTCTAGTATTTATTATGTTATTCGCTCCTCAATAATAAATGAAAACAAAGGACGGGGTATTTCGAACTTTGATTTTTTTCCCATGTCTTTAGAGGGGAGATATCTCAAAACATTTATTATCACTCACAATGGGCAGGGTAAACCTTATGGTCACCTTTCAGTCGTTCTTTGGTAAAATTAGATAATTTCTGAGGGAAATATGATCTGTTGATCAATTCTTTAGCGTGAGCTTTTCTTTAATAATTCAATGGTAAGCTGCAAGATTCACAACCTTTAGTAAACTGTTACTATCTTAAGTCACTGAATTTTTCTATAATTTTTTCATGTTGATAAACAAATTCTTGATTTTGTCCTAGCTCTAAAGCTGTGAGCCAAACTATTCCAACCGTATTACGTTTGTGATTGACACAAGTAGAAGTATTTGAGTGTGTTTTATCATGGTGGGCTTTTGGCTTATTAATTACAGTAACAAAATACACACAATGGAATTAGCCATAATAAAATATCGATCAGTTTCACTTTTTTAAACCTTGGACGTTGAGTTATATTCATCTGTTCTGAGAAATTATATTTAATTAATGCTATTGATCCATATAATTATCTTTGTATTGAGATCATAATACATATCTTTCAGAGTAAAACAAATATATTTCACAGCCATTTTTTCTAATTAACATTCACAACTAACAATAAAAGACTTAATAATCAGTTGAAATAAGCGTGTAACATGCCTACTGAAGATATTGTATATCTTCTTTGTGAGCTGCAAAACTTGACGATATATCCCGTACTAGCAAATGTGGGGTTTTACAAAATGTCACAACATGGGAAATAAACAAATGCATTATTGTAATCCTTCCTCACCATAACACTTTCGGTCGTAATTAACTAGACTTTATTCATGCAGTTAATGCAGAAGTAAACTGAATGGTCTGGAATATATAATGTTGAACATCTAAATCTCATCAACTTGATGTCCACAGTTGATCAAGTGTGTAAAAGGGAAATTCCTCTTTTCACTTATCCCTTTTTAGTTCAGCCATGATAGGCAGTTCTCAGTAAATCAGCTCTCTAGTTATACCTCTTGTACTAATCTGTCTGTTTTCCCGCTTCAATAGAGCAAATCCATTTAATTCGCTACTTAAGACGTCTACTTACAACCTTTATTTTTAATATTAATCAAAAGCAAACCATATTTGTTAGAATCGACTCAATTATTGTTGAATGTTAAACAATTTGATAATTTTTGTTTTATCATAATCATCAATAAAGACCTTAATGCTACGCATTTTCCCGAAGCTATCGAACTTATTGACCTAATGACGATATTCAACTGGATAGGGAAATTATAGCTCAATAAAAACTAATTAACAGACCCACATTCTTTGCTTCCAACGTTTTATTGTGACTAACCTTTTGAAATGTTTTTTTGCTGCACAGATATTGTGATTAAACATGGGTATTTGTTATTAATAAAGTTGTCTGACCTAACAATAGGTAAATGAAAGGTCATAATTTGTATATAAGTCAGTCTTAGTTCTGAGTATTAATCATCACGCATAAACATATAACAGTAGAATTTTAACCACTTAAGATAACAGACTACTTCCATGCGTAACCGCAGCTTTGATGTAACAAAAATGGAACCGACCAGTATAAGTTGAAATTAAATAAAACTGAGGCTAAATGGATTACCAAGTTCTACCAAACAGTATGTCATAACTAATCCATCAACAGTGAAAAAGCTGATTAGCATGAGTGAACTATTCACTGGGTAGTCTTAAATATGCAGAGTCACTGAATTCTTTGTTCAAAACACATACTTAAGGATATATTTTACACGTACTAACCATATTTTTAAGTAATACATACGAATTCAGAAGTCCGTGCCTTGGTGAACCTTTACAAACTAGAGAAGAAAACGTAATACCATCTAGTCATCAACTTATATATATAATGATAGTGCGATTAAACGGTCGAACTCAGAGAGCACAACATATCCAACACATCAGGTTATTTGTATATATCATCGTCAAGTGGCACAAGTGGAACAAATCATACCCTGACTTCATACCTCAAGGTTCAGAAATCTAGCAACAGTTTTGGCAGTCATTTGGTAACAGAAATTGAGTCACTTTATCCAAAACTTCATTTTTTCATACCATTTGGCGAAGATACGGGTTCATAGTTGAGAATTTATGAACTTGTGGTCAATTTTAAAATCATCGTAACAACTAATAAAACAATCCGCTTCCACAGTTTGACATTCAATAAGCCAGCCTCTCTGAACTTATAAAATATATGCCTAGGAGGTGGGCAACCCGTATGATTAAATATTTTGAAATGTGATAACTTTCTGAGATTAAGCTGAGTAGTGTCAAAATTAATAATTAGAAAATAATATCTGAATGGTTATAGCCGCAACAAAAAGTGAAACAAACTACATAGTCACAGCAAATATTCACTGAGAATTTTGCTTATCAAAATTTAAACCACCTTCGTAAAAAAGCTGGTGAAAATACATCGCTCCATCAAGATTAAAATTTTATTGACATGATAGATACTTGCTTTTAACTTCAAACTTTTGATTTCATTTAAAACCACTGTTATAAACAACTCTCCTGGCTCCAAAAAAATAAACTTTCGCTTCAGATTTCAACTGGGTAACTATAATGTTATTTCTTATTTGTTCATATTTTCCCCATCATCTGTCTTAAAACACTAAGACCTCGATAATCCTGGAGAACACTTGAATTTCAACATTATCTTAAGCCTAAAACCTTGTTTTTTATAACCAGTATTCACGTAAAGCAAAATGACATAAGTATGAACACTTGGACAACTGATGGGGGATTACTGATGTGTAGAACATATATTACGCTTATCTAATTTTAACTTAGTGATGGCAACACCTTACTGTAATAGGGGCGAGACTATAATTTATGGAATAACCAATCAGATATAAAATAATGAGTTTCGATTTTTGGCGCGAAATTCATCCATACATTTGGCTAAAGAGTTTTGGCACTATACCTGATGTTAGTTCGTGATGAAAACCATAAATCTAATTTTTAACCCTAACCATCAACTGTCAATGAGAATTCTAACTGTACAGTACAAATCGTCAACCAAGAAAATATGTGGAAACATTTTCTGTGGTGAAAAGCTGTACGCTGATAAATTCGCCTTTAAATCGTATATCGGTGAGAATTTTACCCATCACTTTGAAGGGAAACTCGATTTCTAACTCAAGTTGAATAGTACTGAGGCTGATTTATCTGTGTGTCTTTATCTGTCCACTCGCACTGAGTACCAAATCTACTGTTCGCAAGGAATAAGTACGTACGTACCTATAAAGAAGAAAAATATCATAAGACACGATCTTTCTTCAGTCCTTAATAATAAGGGTAGTAGATCGGTGAACTTATGATAAACCTTGCGTCTTGATTTACAGTAAAGATATTTTGGCAAAAAATGGTTTGATGTAGCCGAGTTGAAGGCATCACGCAAAACAGCCTTAACTCCGCTTTGTTGTCAGGTGAGGGAAATAAAAAATTATTCTTAAGTTTAGAAAAACTTGGGAACCGTATATATGGTTTCAAACGTTGAATAAAAATATTGCAACTTTCAAGTTTAATGGAGACAAAAAGTTCCAAAGAACTAAATAAAAACAATATATCTTACCGACGGTGCGTAGTAATTCAACTTTTCTCAAGTCGAACTTTTTTTTATCAAAAGGAATACTTTTAACATCCTGATTTGTATTGGAATCTACATTATTTTGGTTGTTTTTATTGTTTTTATACAAAAAAAGCATTCTTCGAACTCTGGACGCCATAAAGTGCATCATCAACTGTTTTCCTTAATACTGAAAAAGTGTTGTTTGGACAATAAGCCATCAATCGAAAACTAAGTCCTTATTTTGAAAAAGTGCGTGACCGTGAACGTAGACGAAAAATAATGCGCAAAAACTAAGCCAAAAAATTATAAACTCTTAATAATCTCCGCCTCAGTATTAAACCTTCACATCATTTATCAATCTGTATTGGAGTTGTTTTAGTAAGGAGGTTGCTCTCAAACTACTTACATGACAACGAATTCTAGCTAAGGTATCTATCAACAAAAATTGTTCCTACCCGATTACGATGACCAGCAAACAGCCTAGAACGACGTAGGTCAAGTTGCTGCACCTGTAGGATTAACAGAACGTCACTGGATCTTAGCCAAATCATGCGGCAGTTTGGTCACAGAACACCAAACAGTTCAGCGATCCTCGTCAAGGTCAAAGACGACTGACGAGCATCAGTCAATTCCACGTTATGAACTGATCCATGCTGTGGTGGCTACGTTTTGTTTTCTGTACCTACTCTTACTAACATATTTGTGTGATAACGTCGTTTGTGTTTTTCAGTTACCAAAGTAGCTATAGTACCTGAATACAATGAAATGGTAATCCACTTAAGTACTAACCGTGAGGCGTGACTTCGACGTTAACTTGTCAGCCAAACCATTTCCATCTATCTAGAGCAAGCCCTCAATCATTCGACGAGCATCACAGACGTTTGTGATCTATATGCTTCTTCATTAAGTTTTAGTCAATTTACACATGTATTCCAACAGCGTGAATAAGCTAAACATACGGATTGTTGTCTAACATCCGACATTCCTTTTAGGGATATTAAACTGGTGGTGTGAGGAAAATTCCACATTTCTTACTCTTATTATTATGACTATATTCCATACGCTAGATCATAATCACAGTGTAGACACAGACAACATAAATTATTGCTAGTGAAGAGAGATTTGTCAACCAACTGGGTGAGGAAGCATGTCCTTATAAAGAAATCCTACAATTTTTTTATATATGAAAAGAGAATGAGTAAATGGCTACTGCTAGGATCCACTTATAGACTGTTATTATATATATATTCTTATTGTATAACCATGAAATAACTGTATCATATGCACATTCTTATTCCCTTTATTATATGCTCTTTAGCTTAGAACTCAACACAGCGAAATGCGTCTGACTATTTGCTGGAGATACATCTGTCAGAAAAGTCTAACATTTGACGAGAACGTCCAGCTCACACTCACGTCAATAAGTGAACTCGAGGTACATTACTCCCACAGTCAAAAGTTCTCTGAACATATCTCCACTTGAGCATCTAAAGTGCTGAAATGGCTAGTCCTCATTCTTTGTAACTTCTTTCAAAATGGATCTAAAATCATCCTTTACAAGATACATATAATAGCAATCGTTGAATCCTGTTCTTTCTAATTTCTCAACTGACGCCAATCGGACGTACTTAAAGTGAAAGGAATCCAACCGGATTTCACTCGCAAAAAGCTTTAAACTGGTTTGCTCAATGACCATCGTTACTTCAAGCTTCTCAAAAATCTTAATTATTCCAAATGAATTAGAGTCCTTACCCAAGGCGCACAGATATACGACCCCTGAGATAACTTATCTACAGTTAAAGTCCAAAAATATAGACCAAAAACTCTAGAAAACTTCCTCCACATCAAGTTCACATTATTATGGAACTGTCTTTCTTTGGTTATACGCATGTTAGATGGATTATGTACGTTTATAAGACTGGACCCTACTCATACATCATAGACCTTCTACGTACCTAAAACATATAAGACTCTAAGTTCAATTTCCTACGCTTTTCTTCTTTGGGATTGTACTAGAAAAAATGAATTGCATGACGAAGCATGACTCATAGATATTTCGTGCCCCACTGTAACAATGTTCATGCTTTCTAATGAAAAATATATATCCTTTCTTAATTTTTATTTGAAATAGACAGATTTCTCACTGGACCTACCGATAACGATCAAATTCAGCCGATCCCAAATTACACTCACTATTGTCGTAAAGAATTGTCATGATAACCGCATGATCTTCTGCTTACTACCACCGACCTGGCATCTATGGAGCTTTTCACAAATTAACTGGTTAGGGTAGCACAAAATACAATCAGCGCCAGGTTAATGAGTTTTTTCTTGTCTATTTTCCGCCATATTTCTAATCACAAACTTCGCTTGAAGCACTTCTTGAGTTACCGCCAATCTAAAGCCCAGGTAAAGGAAGAGGGTTAGGCATGAGGTCATCACCTTCATCCCGTGGAAATCAACACTCATAAAAAACGCCAGGCCATTTAAACTCCGCCCTCTAAGTTGGAAGACCTTCATTCAGAAGAATTACAGTACATTGTGATGAAAGCCGAGATTATTTGGAAATTGCGAGACTGATCCTTATTTTGATAACCAGAGCAACAATTAACATAAATATATATAATATCTGTACAATGTGAGAAAAATGGAAGACAAGTCAAATAGCTGCAGAAATGAGAAAATAAAACTCAGTGGTTCACATAATAAGTGAAACCAATTAGTCCCAAGCTGGATAGAAAAGATAGGCTTCGGAAGAGGTGCGACTGAACTCCACTCACGAAAAAGAAAATGCTCCGTGAACTCATGAAGTTGCTTTGAAGCTATCCCAAGAAGCGTGTAACTCACTTATAGGATGAAAGTCTCATTGATCCAGAATCATTAAAACATACTTCAAAACAAAGGAGGGAATTACAATGAATATTATCCACCTCTATGCACCCATCAATGATAGCAACGATCACAATAAGGATCAATTTGCTGAGAGACTTCCATCGATCATAGTGAAGTGCCTAAGGAAAGATCTCACCATCCTGATGGGAGACCTAGACGCCAAAGTAGGAATGCAAAACACCGGATATGAATATGGCATGGGACGACATGGACTGAGAGAAAGGAACAACAATAATGAAAGATTTGCAAATTTATATGCATTCAACAAATTGGTTATAGGTGGCACAAAATTCCCATATAAACACGTCAGATATTTACCTATACAGACACAATCAAATTTCTTAATATATTTGTTCATTCCTCCTCACTGTTACCACGTCTAACAGGAGTTTATTATCATTATTATTGTAATCACTGTCATCCTGAAAAATAAGTATATATATATGCGATTGTACAGTTTTGAAGATGAATTCGCCGAAAAGAGAACTATTCGCTGAAACAATCCTTCTTATATGATATTCAACATTCACCTTCATTTCTGTCAGTACCTCACAGTTACTTCATCAGACAAAACTCATTTACAAACTAACAAACGTACATTAAATTACTGATTAGAAAGTATATCGAAAGTCATTTGATTTGTCAACTAACAATTCATTAAATAATTTACTATTATTCTTTTGTTGTCTATTAACATTAGAATATAATTACGTATAAAATGTAGAAGTAATCTATTCATACGTAGTAAGGAGATAGGCGAAATCTCTCAACGGAATTCGTTATTGCTGCAGAAGTGAGGAGATACAACCTGGAGGTTCTTGGAATCAGTGAAACACATTGGACGCAAGTTGGATAACGACTAGCTTCTGTTATACTCTGGCCATGAAGAAGAAAATGTCGCACATACACAAGGAGTTGTATTGATGCTAACCAAACAAGCACAAATAAGAACGACTAGTGAAAACAAGGAAAGCAAGATAGTCACTAACATTGAAGAATAGAGAAACAGGTGGGTAAAACACTCCAAAGAACTCTTGAATCAACCAGCTTAACGGACCCCCCAATCGACGTTTGCCCACCAACAATTGAAGAATTCATCATGGCAGTTGGATGATCTAGACTTTTCAGATGATTTGGCCCTCCTATCGCAAAAGCAAAAACAAAGACGACCAGTTTAGCGGCAGCCTCAGAAGCAGAAGGTCCCAACATACACAAAGGGAGAAGCAGGATTCTTCGATGCAACACAACATGCACCATTCCAATCACACTTGACGGAGAAGACTTGAAGGATGTAAAAACTTTTACATATTTGGGGAGCATCATTGATGGATACGGTGGATCTGATGCGGATATGAATGCGTGGATCGGCAAACCGAGAGCAGCATATTTACAACTGAGGAATATCTGAAACTCAAAGAAACTGTCAACCAACACCAAGGTCAGGATTTTCAATACAAATGTCAAGACAGTTCTACCGTATGGGGCAGAAAATCTGAGAACTACGAAAGCCATCATCCAAAAGATACAAGTGTTTATTGACAGCTGTCAACGCAAAATACTTCAGACCCATTTGCCAGACACTGTTAGCAACAATCAACTGTGGGAAAGAACAAGCCAGATCTCAGCAGAGGAAGAAATCGGGAAGAAGAGCTGGAAATGAATAAGACAATGAAGAAAGCACCTTACTGTGTCACAATGCAAGCTCTCACACGAAATCCTCAAGGCCAAAGAATAAGAGGATAAAAAAACACTAACACGAGGAATGGAGACAGATATGAGAAGAATGAACAACAACTGAATCGAACTAGAAAAGAAGGCCCAGGACAGAGTGGGATGGAGAATGCTGGTCGTCTGCCTATGCTTCATTGTGAGTAACAGGAGTAAGGAAGTAAGTAATGAATGAATGAAAGCATGATTTGATTAAGAGTGAAGTACTAATGAAAATAAAATAGACAGATGAAATTAATGAATTCTATTGAAAAATATTAAATGTATTGAGTTGAGAGAAATATGATAGAATGTAATTTCCAAATGAATAAAGTGGAAAATGTCAGGTTGATCAAAACTGAAAGAAAACATAGAAATATAAGAATAATGAAATCAATCACATAACTGATAAATGTAAACTTTGTTTCGAAATACACAATAACCTCTATATTTCATATCATTTTATGTTTATTATATACATACATACTCATATACAAACCTTGTTCATGGCATCCATTATTTTAATATCAATACGACCATAATATTTTTGAAAATCAATCCGTCGAAATAAAATCTGTTCCCAAAACATGTGTTTGACAGGTAGATGATTTATAATTATTTATTATTTAATTTGACCACAAATTCTGGTGCAAA